AGACAGAATGGTTACTCCTCCAATTCTGAAACAGAAATCAGTTCCTGAGGTTGGGGGGGTAGGTTGCAGGAGGCAGGGTATGCTAATCTCTGACAGGATCCAGTGTAGATTGCAAATGGCAAAGGCTCAGGAGCCCTTGTTCCAAGATAAGCCCCCCAGCACAGCCCCTGTAACCTTTCCCTCATTCCGCTTCTTCTCCTTCTCTCCCTAAGTACGCTAAGAGTATACTTTCCAAATGAGAGGTTTTTTTTTTCTTTTTAAAGATTTTTTATTTATTTATTTGACAGAGAGACACAGCAAGAGAGAGAACACAAGCAGGGGCAGTGGGAGAGGGAGAAACAGGCCTCCGGCAGAATAGGGAGCCCGATGCGGGGCTCGATCCCAGGACGCTGGGATCATGACCTGAGCCGAAGGCAGACTCTTAACGACTGAGCCACCCAGGCGCCCCCCAAATGAGAGTTTTTAATGACATGCATAATGTAAAATAAAATAAAGTACAATGCTTATTTATATTTATATTTCATGAAAGCAGCTTCTTTTGTTTTGTTTCAGCTTCTTTGGTTTTGTTTTTAGGGGGCCCATGATAATTCTAAAACAGGAATTTCAGAACTCTGAATTTAGTTGACTGTATTGACTCTTGTTTTTGTTTTTCTTGTGGGAATTTCTAATCTTTTAATAATACTCTTCAAGACCTTGAAAATATTGACAACATGTAAAATCTGAGTTATATAGGAGGAAAGATCCATCATGATATGCTTGAGGAAAACACACCAGAGATAATTAGACATACCCATTGTGATCTTTGCCTTGTTTTCTTTAAATTAGGACTAAATAGTACCAAGAGGCCCCATGGAAATATATTGTTTGAGCCCCTGTGGAGATTTTTATTGAAGAAAATTTTCCAATTCATGTGTTTGACTGATTTAACGTAGAAAATGCAAAGATGGTAGATAAATTACTGGAGCCTCTCTATTTGTCAGCAAATATGCCTTTGTTTTTTTTTTTTTTTTAAAGATTTTATTTATTTATTTATTTGAGAGAGAGAGAATGAGAGATAGAGAGCACGAGAGGGAAGAGGGTCAGAGGGAGAAGCAGACTCCCTGCCGAGCAGGGAGCCCGATGTGGGACTCGATCCCGGGACTCCAGGATCATGACCTGAGCCGAAGGCAGTCGCTTAACCAACTGAGCCACCCAGGCGCCCAGCAAATATGCCTTTGGCTACTGCATATGACTGTAAGAAATGTGAATGTTCCAAAAAGGCAATGGAGCCATCTCTGAGGAGAAAAAGAAAAATTAGCTTGGTTGTTGCTTTGTTTGTTTGCTTTTAAAGAATATATACAGAATATTAAACAAACTAGAGAAAATATTTGGATATACATATTGAATAGTTCAATACTTTTGTGGAAATTGATTTTGCTTACGTGTTTTCTATCTTTTTCCTGCCAATGCTCTTTACTTATTTTATCCCTGACTGCTCTTTGTTTGATTTTGAAGTTGCTAACATAAACTTCTTCAGATATTCTTAAGTAAGCCTTTAGTGTTGAGACTTTTGTTAGCAAGTTAGTGTTTAAGATGACCAGTAAAAGGGCACCTAGGTGGCTCAGTCAGTTAAGTGGCTGCCTTTGGCTCAGGTCATGATCTCAGGGTCCAGAGATGGAGTCTTGAGTCTTCAGGCTCCCTGCTCAGTGGGAGTCTGCTTCTCTCCCTCTACCCCACCCCTGCTTGTACTCTCTCTCTCACCCTCTCTCTCAAATAAATAAAATCTTAAAATTAAAAAAAAAATAAGATGACTAGTAAACTATAGAACTGTCCAGATAGCCCTATTCCCCACGATCTATTTGCTAAGGAATCAGAGCTCCTTATCCAGAGTCATTAGGCATATTGTTTTCCTGAAACTTTGGAAGCATTGCTGGTTGAGAAAAAATGGAACTGAGTGTTTGCTCCCCTCTGAAAAACTGGATGCTGAGTTGTGAAGATGGAAACATGAAAAACAGAATAAGACAACACAAAATATGTTATAATGTAATAAATTCAATTTCATGTAGCCTAATGCATTAACTTTAAACATATTCACAATAATGCAATATGTGTCTAATTACATGCATTTACTCTTTGCTATTTGCGGAAAAGCAATGTACAGAAGCACAGTATATTCAAAATTATTTTCTGATTTAAAATATTTATTGTCAATATATTGCTAATTGCTTGCAGTTTTGCCTTCTGAAATTTTACTAATATGTTGAATAAAGTGTAGTCTGCAGTATTAATTTATATATCTATTTTTAATTGAATGTTTGCCCATGCGTTTATTTATGGCCTGGATGCATTTTTTTTATTCCAGGTGTGCATATATTTTCTTACTTGCTTATTTGCTTTTGCTTATTTAAATTTAATGAATAAAGATTTCAATTAAGATTTCAACATATCCAGGTACCCTGCTTGTATTTCTACTTGTTTATGTGACACACAATATAGCATGTTTATGTTAATAAAGTACCTTCCATATAATGACATTAAATGTTATGCCAAAAAGAGTCTTATAAATGTGTGACCATATGCAGCGTGTGTGTATATATTTTATATTACATATATCATATACATGTAGTGATCTAATGCACTTCAGGGTCATTAAAGTCACTGATATATTTTGTGGATCAGTTCACCCAATAAGTAAGTATATTTGAAGATAGCAACGTGATGTACAAGTTAAGGTTGTATATGTATAGTATCTAGAATATCTTTCAGGCAGTTCAGATTTAATGTTATGTCTGAGTGCCTAGAAGATGGAGACATAGAGGCCTCCACACTTAGAAGTCACATTTATGAACACACCAGCCCCAAGCACAGTTTTTTGAACATCACCCAGTTGGGTTACTATGGTTTAAAGATTAAAAGCACAATACAGGAAGGTTAGATCATGATTAGCAGAAGACATACTCAACTGATACAGTCTGATGAAATAATGTTTGCCAGATCAAAGGCAATGACTGTCACCAAGAAAAATAGGTCTTCCATGGTTTCTCCAATATTGTCATTAAATTTCATAAGAAAAGTGCTTTGCTTAAAGAAAATATATAACAGATGTTAAAGTACAATTCATGCTGTTTTGATCTTAACAGCCTGCAAAGGTTAACATCAGTTTTATCTAAATTAGCATTGTCGTAGTTTTAAAATTTTCTATGTGGACCTGAAAACACGTAGTTTCTTATATCATAAGAAAAATATACATCTTGTTTTCAGAGAAATTATCCCACATGTTATCAGGGTTTGGAATTAGTATTTTCCTCTGGTTAAGTGCCCCTCAGAAGCTCTGATGGTGGGGAGGTGTACAATACTAAAGCCGTGAGCTAGGACTGGGAGCAGGGCGGGGGTGGGGTTGAGGGCCGAGGAAAGGGACAGGAAGTTTATGTCTGGTATTCCTTCACCTAGCTAACTTCTTACCCTAAGTAGCCCTAGAAATCGGACCCAATTTTAAATTTGGAGGAAATTTTGGAATACAAAGTGATCTCATGTTTTGAATTCCTGAGGGACATATATCTAAAAAATAATGGTAGTATATTGTCTCAGTCTGATTGGGCTGCTATAATGAAATACCATAGACTGGGTGGTTTAAACAACAGAACCTGATTTCTCACAGCTCTGCATGCTGGGAATTCCAACAGCAAGGCGCTAGCATACCCAGTGTCTGATGAGAGGCCACTTCCCGGTCTGTACATAGCCGGCTTCTCACTAGGTCCTCACTTGGCAGATTGCAGAGAGGAAAAAGGCAGACTTTATAAGGTCACTAATCCCATTCGTGAGGGTTCCACCCTCAGGACCTAATCACCTCCCCAAAGACCGCCTTTCCTAATACAGCCTCGTGGTGGGCTTGGATTTCAACATAAGAATTTTTGGCAAGCACAAACATTCAGTCCGTAGCATATACAAAGTAAATGAAAAGAGGTACACACACAAGTGTGATGTGCCTAGGTCCCTGACTGGGCTGGACTGTATCCGATAAGGGTTTTTGTTGGAGAGAGCAGAGGAGAAATGCTCCAAATCGTAACCGGAGGGGAAGATGTAGCATATGCCAAATGTGTTATGACAAATGAAATAAACTGATGTTATGGAAATAGCAATTCCTCACCCTCTGGCCAGTTTGATCTTTTTGTTGAAGACTTTCAAACTCACAAATCAATCATGTTTTCCAAATATGGGAGCTGCCTTTGTGATTTGTAGGTGCATTAATATGCAAAATTGTCCAATAAATCAGAAACAGATTTTCAATTCCATGGTGTAACTATATTTAATACTATATTTTAATAAATCAAGAAAGTTATTGATGAGAAGATACATTGGGGAGCACTAAAAACATACATATATATATATTTTTTTTTACAAGATCGACTGTAAAATGCATTCACATTCAGTGATAGTAAAGGGTGAACAAATTTCAATATTAGCATATATGAAATGTAGTGTAGCTAAAGGTTCACAACTGAGTAATGCTTTGCAAGTACCTTGTGATGTAGCAAGTGTGGGGACTATTGTCTGCTTACAGAAAGTAAATGGGAGTCATTCTGACCACAAGTATTTATTGAGCATCTAGCATGTGCTATATATAAAGCCAAGTTTTCAGGCAATAACCAAGAACAAAGCAGATGCCATCTCTCCTTGTGTATATGCAAAAGCTTTTTTTGTTTTGTTTTGTTTGTTTTGTTTTGTTTCTGTTATTGTTGTTTTTAATTACCTAAACCTACAAACCTTGTTAGGACTATGTCAAGCATTTAGAGATCAGATGTATGCCCAACCATCCTAGCTCAGCAAACTCTACCAAATTAGACAGGCTACTGGAAAGGATAAGAATTTAGAAGTATTAAGTCAGGTGTAAAACATACCGCAGAGGTAAAATAACCAAATAATATATGCATTTCTTCTCTTTTTCTAAAAAAAAAAAAAAATTACATGTTAATGGTTTCCTGCATACCAGTTTCATTTTTAAACCTTTCCTCTGACCATAGGAGCTGATGCTGTGGAAGCTCAGTGTAAAAGATTTGAAGTGAGAGCGAGTGAAGATGGCAGGGTGCTGTTCTCTGCAGATGAAGATGAGATTACCATTGGGGCTGAAAAGCTGAAAGTTACAGGTACTGTAGTTTGAGGTCTTGGAACATTGTTTACTTCTTGAAAGAATATGCAACTGAACAAGAGCTACATTATAAGATGTATGATCCCCATGCCGAAAGTTGAGTTCACATAATAACATAATCTCACACCATTAGATTTTCCAGGAGTCTTCAAATAGAAGGCAGCTGGTTGTGTTGGCAGAAGCAGCTGGTTGTGTTGGCAGAAGACAATGTAAACACTGGCCTTAGTGATGTAAAAGTAAAGCTGTGTGTCCTAGGCTGGAGTAGGATAGGTGGAGGAAAGTGGGTCAGCAGAGCGGAAGAAAAAGTGGGGTGCAGACCGTGAGAAAAGCTAACTCAAGGTGATAGACAAATACAGTTCAGAGGTATCATTTAGAAGTAGAAGTTAGGCAAAAGAAGAACTAAATGTAAATATCAACTATAGAATGAAGTAGGGGAAAAGTGATAAGTAAACGAAATTATTTTCTTTGGCTTGTAATTATTCTCAAAAGTGTATATATCAAGATGTAGTGCTATCTTGGAGCACCTGGGTGGCTCAGTTGGTTAAGCATCTGCCTTTGGCTCAGGTCATGATCCCGGGGTCCTGGAATTGGCCCCCCACATTGTGCTCCCTGCTCAGCAGGGAGTCTGCTTCTCCCTTTCCCTCTGCTCCTCCCCCATGCTTGGGCTCATACTCTCTCTCTCTCAAATAAATAAAATCTTTAAAAAATTAAAAAATAAAAATAAATTTAAAAAAGGAGAGTGCCATCCAGATATTATTTAGAAGTTGTTAAAGTCATTATTCTAGTATTAGAGCTAAAAAGTCAATCACCAACTGAAATTAAGAAACAAAAGCAGAAATCAAAGGTAAAAGCGAGGCTGAGAGCAGGGAAAGATTTTATGAAGATTATTTTAAGCATAATCTCTTTGAATTACTTGATTTACAATCATAATACATATAATTTTGATAACATATTTTAAAAATACCCAAAGAGGCCTACATTAAAAAAAGTGAGATAAGCTTGACCTAGTGTTTCCCAAATTTGAGTTTGGGAAAGGTCATGCGCTCTCTATCCTAAGTCCTCCTGAGCCCTGTGGGCCATGTGAGAACAGCTAGCATAGAAATTGGCCTCTATTCTCAGGTTGTTGGGGTTGAATCCCTACCTCTACCATTCAAAATTTAAATAAACCCTATGTCTCCTGTGAAGTTTTCCTTCATCTAAATGATTGAAACGATGATGATAACTTTAGTGTTCAAATTATACCAGTGTGTGTGTTTATAGTATTTTCAGCACATATTGAAGACACTGTAACAGATAGCTTTTTATATTTATTAATAAAAATAATATTAATATTGTTAATGTTCTAGACATGAGGGCTTATTTGTATTTCAAGAAAGGTGTACTATTAAATGGTACTGAAATTCAACAAAGATTTTTTTTTTGAGAGAGAGAGAAAGACAGAGATCGGGGGTGAGAGGCTTGGTGGGGTAGGGGCAGAGAGAGAATCTTAAGCAAGCTTCACACCCAATGCAGAGCCCTACGCAGGTCTCTATCTCATGACCCTGAGATCATGACCTGAGTAGAAATCAAGAGTCAGACGCTTAACTGACTGAGCCATTCAGATGCCCCTCAACAAAGATAGTTAAATGCGGATCCTCACTGGGCCTTTTTGGCCCAGGTCACAACCCATTACCACCATCCCTACTGATTCCCATAGCTTCTTTTCTCTTATGGGATAGTCTGTTGAGTAGCTGGAGCCTGCACCATTGGGCTGGTGTTTGGAGTGTTCCCCATTACTGCCCAGCTGCCTCATCTCCTTTTCTTTCTTCGGCCTTCTTGGAAAGGTCAGGAGAGGAAGGCCCACAGGGGGCAAAACTTGAGCTTTCTAAGCCCTGAGTCTGGGGGGCAGGTGACAAAACAAAACACGTGGTGGCTTTGGTTGGCACAGAGCACAGACAAATAGGAAAGGACATTGACTTTAGGGCCCTTGGTGCTAACATTTGAGTTGCTGGTTGGTGGGAAAGCAGGAAACCCAGGTAGAAATACACTCAGGGCGATTAAGCGGATGTGATTTCAATATTTAACAATCTTTGAACCTTATAGTGCCTACTAGTTATCAGCTTTAATCCTAAGATAGCTTTTAAGATATTACACACTTAACTAAAAATTTTTTCATCCATATTCGGATATTCCCATTGAGTACTTTGCCTTTGTAAGTGACAGGAAGTTATAGAGCTCTTGACAGTTTTTATGAACTCATGGAATTTTAACTTTCTCTGATCTTATGTTGACTTGTCTCATAACAGTTGCAGTGAAGTGCTGTCTTCACAAAATTAGACTCATTAACTAGTTTTTAAATTTTTCTTTGAGGTGCATGGATACTTACCTTTATTTTCCTCTTTTTCTTGGTAGCCTGGCTGTCATCCTTGGATTGTTAATGGGAATTATTAAGTTATAAAGTTAGCAGAGAAAGTGTTTCCCAAGAAATCTGAGTTTTTCTGCTTTTCAATTAACTGCCTTCAGGCAGTCATCTCTGCTAACTTAATCTCTCCCCCCTCCCCATGTATGCGTGAATGTGTGCGTATGACGTATGCATGGTGTATATATATATATGCATGTATGTATATCTGGATGTACAGATGGATAAATACATATGTTTCATTCTGGTTTTCTTTTTCCATTTCTTTCTGTCTTGAACATATATACATAGCTTTGAGTTTATTCTTTGTACTACTTTTGATTGATTTTTGTCATTCAGTTATCTCAGAAAGTTAATCAGTTTTATAGTTGAGGTCTATACCATATGCTTCCAGAAGATCCTAAATAATAATATAATTTTGAGGTCATAGACTGCAGAATCCAGGCAGAAATTTTTGTAAGGGTTTGAAGCGTAACACTTGAGATGAGGGAATGAGAGTGTCTGTAACAAGAAATCCCAATTTCTAACCTGATGTGGATATACAAGAGGCTTCAGGTTATTAACAAAGAAATGCTAAGTTGGGAGTATTTTATTTTGATTAAAACTCCCCCCAGGATCCAGTTGCATTTTTTGTTTCTCACAGAGGAGCCCATATACCCACAGACACACATAGACACAAACATACATACATACACACACCCTCTCAAATTCTTGCTAGGTCCTTTCTCCTTTAACAGAATATCGAATGTTTACTTTGCAGTAGCTCTATTCCTTCCTACAATACTTCTAAAATAAGGAAAAATAAAGATATCAAAGGCAAATATAACTTAGAATTTCACATACTTAGAGGAAAAAATTATGCATCGCATCACATATCATTTAAAGGCCCAGGGATTGATTAGAAACTCTTGATTAGAAACTCACGTATACTTTAAAGCAGTGCTTGAATTATTTGACAAATAACACTACAAAGAGACACTGACTCCAGGGTGCTTCATATAAATTAGGTAGCTGTGCTGACAAGACTTCAAAGTTACATGTGACAAGAGATCTGTGTGAGGTTGATTCTGGAATTTTAAATTTGTGGCACAAAATTTTCTATTTAAGCACTATCCATTGGAATTACAAATGATTCTTTCTGGCTTATACTTTACAAGCAATGGCATTTTGTACATGGACTTCTCTTTCAGGGTGACAGAAATGGATGAATTTATTTAGACAATGTGTCTATACACCTGAGGGAAAATCACTTATCACTAAAATTATTCATAGATCTAGCATAGCTCAGGATATTTACATTTACTGTACTTAGAAGGTAGGAGGGATTTACCTGATACGTTCACATACTCCTAAGATGCAGGAGGATAGAAGTAAAATCACAAATGGTTACCTGAACACCAACATGCCTCATTACCCCATCACCATGGTAAGCAATCATGTGCTAAAAATTTGTAAATTTTTACTCTTGATATTACTTGAGTTGCTCAGTAATCTTTTGCTTAAATCTTAATTTGAAGTTACTTATTTGACCTTGACCTACCCTCTCTACATCGCTAAATGTGTTAGAGTGTTACACTTTAGCTCACATATGCATACTTGAGAACTTTATTTTCATTAAAATTGGTCAAAGATATTCCTTACTGCAGTTATCTTTTGAGACCCAGTATTGGTCTAAGATATCACTTACTGCAATTATCTTTTGATACCAGGCAAACAAATAAAAGATATAAACCTTTACACTTAGAAGACTCTTAAATATAGTGCTTTCAGGCAGAATCTATCAACTGCAATTTGCACTTTCATTTGTATTCCAAGTAGTATATTAACTTAGAAAACAAAGTGCAAGTCTAAGTCACTTGACTTTATAAAGTGAAAAACTTTAGCCATATAAGATACCTTCATGTTACGTTTTATGCTATTAGTTGGACTTAGACCTCTCTGTTTTGCTTATGAGAGAAAAGAAGAAAAATAGCTAGATATGTAAGGAGAAAAGGATATCTCCTTTTTTTCAGGCAGTAGAAATTAAAGCTGGCAATCTGAAAAAAATGGTGAATCCCAACCCTGCATCCACCCTGTGCCCTAATGTTTGCTTGAAAGCCAAGACTGTATCACTCCTTCGTCCCTGTTCTAATTGAATGATTGGAAAGATAGACAAGCTCCAATGCTTGTTTGACAACAGAAGAAAGGATTTTCTGAAGAGCTGCCTTTTAAATTAAACACCATGCTTCTCAGTTGAAATCAGTATTTCCTGGTTTGTTTTTATTAGTTAGTCTTCTACATCCTTGTTCTTGTCTGTTAAATTGGCACGCTGTGTGGAGGTCAGCTTTGGAATCAAGCTTTCTATTAGGTAGGACCATTGTTCCTTCAAGCTGTCCAAATCCCAAGAATGTGGTAACACGCAGCCAACAGAACGGAGCTGCTTGGTTTGAATAGCACCTGAAAAAATGTGATTAGACCTGGTGCTGAGAAAAGTGATGTGCAATCACTTAATTTTCTCAGGTGTGGCGTTTCAAGGCTGTGGACTTGGATAAATCACTCAACTCCGTTTTCTAGTTGCTTTTTGGAGTTACTGAGGATACAGATTTTAGAGACGCTAAAGA